TATAAATTTAAAAATTTTAATTTATTTTTTAAATTATTTAAAATATAATAATTTTTATTAATATTTTAATAAATAAAATATTTAAAATAATAGATTAATAATTTAAAAATTTTTTAAAATAGAATTTAAAATATTTATATTCTTTTTTTAATTTAATTTTTTTGATTTTTTCAATTTTATAAATTAAAGCTTTTTTTTAATAAAAGTTTAATTATTCTTATTAAATTATTAAAAGAAACTAAAAAAGAAGTTAAAAAAACTTTTTAATAATAATTTTGATAAAAACTTTGTTATCTTTATTAAGTTACTAAAAAAAGCTAAAAAAAAAAACTAAAAAAAAAGCTAAAAAACTTTATTAATAATAATTTTAATAACAACTTAGTTATTTTTACTAAGCTATTAGATATATACTATTTTAATAATTAATTAAAAGTAAAAATTCTAACTAATTAACTATTTTATAGTTATTTTTTAAGAATTTATAAATTTAAAAATTTCAACTAATTATTTTAATTATTTAAAATATAATAGTCTTCACTAATATTCCAATAATTATCTATATATAAATTAATAAAAATATATATATTTAGTTAGAATATTTTAAAATATTTATAGTATTTCTATTATTCCTTAATAAGTTAGTACTTTTTTAAAGTATAGTTTTGGAATAATTCTTTCACTATTTCGAAAAACCCCTAAACGGCTCTATAGTACTTAAATTTAATTACTAAGCGAATTCCCTTCTTTCAAGCTGAATATATTTTTGAACATTGAAAACCAGACAGAAGCGAGGATATCTGGGGACGATGGCTTCAAATTATTCAATGTGCATCCAATACACATTGAGACATGCCCGCAGGGAGATTTTCCGATCTGCATCAATAAAAAAACAGTCAATTCGTTCTCTGTCAGTTTCTGCACCTTGTTTGACGGCATCTAATCGTCCTGGAAGCTCCAATGCCGAGCTGGAATCGGCGCATAGCTACTGCGTTGAGCTCCTAAGGTATGCAATACATCAATCGGGCCTCAGGCCCTATTGTCTCTTACTATTTGAATAGATAGCTAACCTCAACTAGAAAATATGATCGACCGTCTTATACTCTGAGCACATTCATTCCTCGACACTCCACCAAGTTTTATATCGCTCTTCATGCCCTAAATGTTTCGCTATCGATGATACCGGAAACAACATCCACGCATACAATCGGTCTAATGAGGCTGCAGTACTGGAGAGATGCCATCACACGTACTCTCGCCGGAACTCCTCCAAAGGAGCCCATTGCTATTTTTCTGGCCTCGGCCATATCCGACCTTGATGCACGGACTCAGGGAAGAGCGAAGATAAGCAAAGGGTGGCTTATGCGATTGATTAATGCGCGGGAACAGCATTTGGCGCACACATCATATCCCACCTTAGCTTCATTAGAATCTTATGCTGAAAGCACATACTCTACACTGCTATACTTAACTCTTAGCGCATTGCCCCTTACTTCATTAACGGCTGATCATTTGGCATCGCACATCGGTAAAGCAGCTGGAATAACTGCTCTTCTTCGCGGTGTGCCGCTTGTTGCATTCCCTCCACCACCCAGTCATCATTCAAGCCAGACTCGGATGGGCAACGAAGGTCCTATAGCAGGCGACAGCAGACAAGGCTCCATCATGCTACCACTTGACGTTATGGCACAAACAGGGGTAAAAGAAGAAGACGTCTTCAGACTTGGCGCAGACGCTCCGGGACTACGAGATGCTGTTTTTACAGTGGCCACCCGTGCTAGTGACCATCTAATCACTGCCAGACAAATGCTGAAGAATTTACGAGCTGGTCAAGACGTTGGACATGCCTTTGAACATGAGGGAGAAGAAGGGCACGAATATCAAGATGACCAACATGAAAAATCAACAAGCCTGAGCACTCAGCTGCAAGAAGTCGAACGAGGGTTTTGTGTTTTGCTACCAGCTGTTTCCACGAGCCTGTGGCTTAATAAACTACAAAAGGTAGACTTTGACATATTCAAACCGGAACTTCTTTCTACAGATTGGAGGTTACCGTGGAAGGCTTACTGGGCTTATCGACAGCGAAATATCTGAACGGCTATTGGCCTGTAACCTTTGTAACACCGATTATAGATGTATTATACAGAATGGTCTAATTATCATACCCCTTGTTCTCGTCAGTTTCCACACCGGGATCGTATACGCAGGTAAACAAACATATCGGCTCAAAATTAAGTTGCTTGTGGTCGTTGCCGCACAGGTCTTCGCCGCCGTCTTGAACTCCAGATTAATCGTTTGTTTGCAAGTTTCATCAAGTAGCGCTTTATGACCTCACGCCTAAGAAATTCGTACATCAGTACAGGTAGTGACAATTTAGTTCATAAATACTAGAGGCACTCACATCAAGATGACCATAACTACGAAAACAAAAGGTATTGCAATAGCCCAGAAAAAACTTTGTTAGTGTTAGCTGAAAGTACTGCCGATACCACAAGAAGGCCAGAGAATGTACTCACGCATCACTATATTCTTGGATGCTTGAAAAAGACTTGAAATTCATTCCAAAATAGCCCTGTCCAGAATTAATTCGCTTGTTCTTTTCTAAGCTAGGGTCACGGACGTAACTTACCGAAAGGAATGTAAGAGGTAGAAACATACAGGTTACCAGTGAGAGCTGTGTTATACTTTCGTTCTGATAAGCCCCTGTGGTGAAGAAATTAGTGCCTGTAAACCTGGCTGAACATTTTCTGGCTGGTGTTTAAGCTTACCAATGGTGTTGAATATCAGGTCAATCATATTATCTGCTGAGCGCCGCATTTGGTCATAGCCCTCATTTATAGTGATACAATGATCTAGGACATCACCTAGGTAAGTTTGACACATAGGGCTTATGTTAACGGTTGAAGGCATTCTAACTCCTTCGGTTTCCTGGTTCGAGGCAACTCGGGATCCAGACCCAGAACCAGAGCCATTGGTATGCGAGCATGCGGGCAGTCCTATTTTGACCCCTAGTTGAGGGCGGCTGTTCGGATCCGGCTTATGATCCCTTAGAGAATTGATAACTCCAATAATTGGCTGGATGGCGTTTCGCAAAACGGATATTTCGGAGGTAAGTATATACAGGCTGCTCGACTGCTTGATATTCGGATCGGTAAGAACTTGAACTTCGAGGTCTCCCATTGCGTCTTGGTAAGCCATTGTGACCGGAATGGCAAGATCAGTGATAGCGTCGATAATAGCCTGTAATACCATACTTGCATCACAACTTTGTCGTAGGATAGTTCCAGGAGACCTTAGCCGTTGAATGATCGGAGTTTCGATATCGTCGGCGCTCGCCTCGAAGAAGGATGTCACGGAGTTATCTGAATGGAGGAAAAGAGAAACTTGCTCGATACCAACACTAAGACCTTTAGGTCCTAGGACAGCATGACGCTCCATGAAATCTATACGGTCCTCATTAGGTCCTCCTCTAAAGCGCTGTAAAGATCGAATGGCTCGAGTTGGATTGACGGGTACTTCCTGGTGGGAACCCGTAGGAGGCCTCTTTGTACCATTAAGCCTTGGGCGTCTCTGCTGGTATTTTGGCACAAACAGATCCATCAATGCCGTCATTATCACCCCTCGGTTTTTCTTTTTTGAGTGGTGACTGGGCGGTTTTGAGTCATCCGTTTCATGTATTGTCTCTTCATCTTCAGACTCGCTCTCTGCTTCGGAATCTTCGGGGCTGGTATGCTTGATCAACTTTTGCATTGCAAGAACAATAAAAGTATGGTCGGAGAACCAATCGACTTTCGTTCGGTTTACGGAATGCATAAGATCCTCCACCGCTAGCCTGTGAAGGTGTTTGTGGTTCGCCAACAGCCTAACGACGTCCCAGCTCAATCCGTTGACATTGATCCAGCGGCACTGTACCCATGGCTCTCTCTCCCTCTCCAAAAAAGGCACCAATGTTGCGTTATCCAAATGATACATACGCATTGCATCGTGAGAAAAGTCCACCACTGTGATATCACACTGTTGGTACAATTGGGCTTGCAACAAGGTTCCCTCGTCTGCAAATGATGTGGGAAGGCTTGGATCCGTAGGGTCAATTCCAGGCTCTTCACCTGGATGCCAATTTGGCGAGTGTATCTCTGGATAATAAGGGCGCGCGGTGGTAGAGCGCCGACTGCGCCTTCTAACACTGCTTTGAGGCTCAAGACCGGGAGCGTTTCTGGTGGAAGTAGGCGACGCAGACGGAAATGGCTCCAGCCTGAAAGCTTCACCACCTGCCTGAGCCTCGACATCGGTAGTACAAGGGCTGATTTCGCTCCCGTTCAGAGAACTTGATCTCCCAGGAGCCATCCTGACGCGGTTACGAATGGTATATTGAGAACACAGGGAACCATGACAACAAGAAGCCCACAGCCAAATTCAGCATCCCTCAAGTAATCGAAATTCTTTGTGAGTGCGCAATTACCATGCTAGACATGATATATGATCGCCTTCCAGGTCCAATCGACGTCATGTGTAGTTTCACCACTGCGATTGTTGACGTGGTTGATCGACGTTGAAATTGCGCTGCGCTGGAAGTTTGTTAGGGTGGAACTTTCGGCAGTTGCGGGAGGCTTGGCGCGCTATCCCTGTTGCGGCCTATGATGAAATTAATCTATCAAGGCTAAACAAGGTATATCAAAGCATCTTAAGGTAATCTATATAAGTATATGAATGGGATTTATTATCATAATGGTGCATATCTTGTCCCTTATAATACATAACCAAGCGACCCAAGCACCACGCACCGGAACATGCACCATATCAGTAATGAGATAACTGGGACAAATATATTTACAAGAAAAGATGGAGTTAAAAGGTTGGTAGTATCAGGTGGATTTGAATGCCTGAACAAATAATGAAAATGAGAAAAGAGATAAATGGCATTCCATCATGAGAATGCGGTGAAGTTGACGCGTTAAACCGATCGATATAAGAGAGCGAGGAGAAGGACAGAGGGTATGATTTGATTATACAGATGCTGGGGAACGAGGTTTCCAACCGAACCTATGTATTGTAAAAGATGACGGTTTGGGGGCTAAGTTCGACGATTTTGGAAGAAGATTTGGCTGGACATCCATTAAAACAGCCTTTTGTGGTTCTGCGTGAGGGGGTATTTGCGATTTTGATCCACGTTTAGGTTGCGATTTTGTTGTGCTCCCTGACGTCGAGGAAGAGTTCTTCTTCATCGAATCCTTTATTAATTCTCGTAGCTCCTTATCGTCACTGGTAATTTGGGCTTTGATAAAATCCATGCTGCTTGAATTTTGTAATGACGCCATTACGGGTTCCCGTGGGGTATAGCTGTAGTTTTCTGGGACCGGCGGTGACAATGGGGTAATTGATGGATCAAGCCTAGCCTCGTCACCCTTGGAGAGTAGTTCGTTGATATCGAGGGATTCCCCATGTGGGATTTTGTTGGGATGAGATGGCGTCACACAATCCATGTTCACCTCTTTCCGCAAGACATGATCAATATCTACTGCTGAGAAGAACGCACAAGATTGTGGCAGGTCGTCAATACCCATTTGCTGCGAAAACATAGCCCGAGTCCAAAGATTCGCAACCTGGAGTGCCATTGCAGCCTTGTACTTGTCTGTTTCCCTAACCACATACCTAATTTCATCGTGGACAGTAATGGCAAGACGGGCATCAAGATTGAAGCGCCTGATGAGATAATCCATAGATATGATAAGTAAATGAAGGTAGTCGACCCCAGATGATTGAATAGCCCAGTTAATTCTGGACGTCATGAAGCCACCTTTGTTGATAAACCGTCGCATTAGTGCCTCAGTGATACCAGCTCCCAGGACGGGGGTTCGTGGTCTCTCCTGCTCTGCGAACTCTTCCAGCTTGTTGAAAACGAAGGATTCGGTTCCACCTCGTAAGAAAGGGTTCTCACTCAGTATTCTGCGAGTAGTCCGAGTTCCCTTCGTTTCCTTGTATAATTTGGCAGCCACGGCCTTTGTCTCCGTTTCAGACATGCTTGGGTTGAATTGCCGTAAAAGCGTGGCTGCAAATTTCAAACCAGCTCCATATATTCTACCATAATTAAAAACTTTTGCATTATTTCGTGAAATTCCAAGAATTTTTGCCGTTTTCGAATGTAAATCTGTACCAGCAGCTTTCGTACCTTCGAGAGTCATGAAGCCAATCGCATTTCCACCGTGTAGTTGGAATTGTGCATCACCGACTAAGCTTGCGATCCAAAGTTCCTCAGAGTCAACATCTGCACCAACGAAAACATACCCAGGTGGTGCGCGAACCATGGCTTTCAGCTCAGAACCGACGCGATTTGGTTTGGCATTACTCGCGGTGAGCCAGGTATTCTCAACTGCTCTGCGCGTGATTGTTCCCATAGGAATAACCTGGGGAAGGATGAAGCCCACTTTTGAGTCCGGCGAAAGCTCTTTGCCCAACGCACCTGTTTTTTCCAAATCCTTCTTGTAAACAACCATTTGCGATGTGATTCGGTCTCTAGCGCTTATCCAATATGAACAGGACGCATTCATTTCCAAGGCCTCCTTAGCCAACGGAAACTGAGATGAGAGCTTCCCACTTTCAAAATATTGCAGGTACCCTTTTGAGAGTGGGCTAGCACATCGAGCGTCTGGTCCATCTTTATGTGGAAGTTTGAAATAGACATGCTCTCTGCTCTCACGTAGAGCAGCGTTTGTCTCTTCCGACATGTCGCATGGCGCAAATGCCTGTTTCTCATATCGCTCTAGCTCCTTTTTGGGAACTTCAAAAGTCCAGCCATGCTTGTCGGACCAAACAAGGGGAAAGCCATCCCACGAAAGATTCAAGAGGATTGGGGATATACGAGTCCGCACTGTGATGTTGATATCTGATTTACTCGTTGGAAAAAGGTCCTTATACCACTTCGGCATCCCTGGTAGTTTTTGTCGGGCCGCTGGCCGAGGCGGATCTCCTTTTTTCTTTCCTTTGACCATCCTAATCTCCTGGCCTGACCAGTCCAGCTGTCGAAGCCAGGGATCATTTTGGTATATTTCCGGTTTGTCTTTCACCTTGAGAGCGTTTTCGCAGAGTTCCACTAGCCTCTTTTGCACATTGTCCAACGCACGATGGTAGGTGTCTTCCGCATTTTTCAAGTACTCCCCCCATGTTTCATTAACCGGCAGAATAACAGTGGAAAGATGCCTCAATGCAGCAAAGCTGACGGGGTGTGGACACGTCTCTAAGAAATTTGGGAATACCTTTTTGTAGACCCGGTGCGTAATAGCAACGTCGGCAGCGCAGTAATCCAGAAGTTCATCTAATTGCCCATTAATTCCCTCTCGGTCAAGTTCGCCAAAATAGTTCCGTTGAGCCTTATCTATTGTGATATTGCAGTGGAATTTGGCAACATCGCGAAGAGAGTTAACGGAACTTCGGCCTACCCATAGCTCTTCCTCTTCCTCACTGAGCATTTTATTTTCAACCATAGACGCAAGCTCCGCTGACTCAGTTCCACGCATTAGCTTATCCCGAAGATCTCTGTTTTTCTTATGTTTCATCCAAGTTGGCCGCTGCTGTGAACACATTCCATTTACAGCCACGTGCAGAGACATCGTATCAATGAAGAAGTTGCGAGATTGTTTGATATCATATTCTTCTAGTATTCTGGCTCGATCATAACCAATATTATGACCAACAATGACGCGAGATGTTGATATGTCACCAAGAGGTACTAGATGATGGGTATCTTCGGTTTCCTTAAGGAGCCAGGGCGAAATCCATGCGTACCAAGCCGTTGGGCCGGCAGCGCAGGCCATTACAGCAAATGGATGTTCCTTCCACATAACTTCAGTATCAAAAGTGAGCATAGTCTCATCAGGGGCACTGATTTTCTGCGCCGTTCCGTCTGCATTGTATTTTGTCCAACCGCTCTGTCTAATCCATTTTCGCGGTTGCTGGGGTAAATGAACCGTCGTATAGCGCTTAGCATCACTTAAAAAGGGTTCAGAAGCATCCATTCCTAGCTTATGAAAGTGTTCATCCAGAGATTGCCCCTTGAGAACTGGGAGATTGAATCCAATTGGGTCAGAGCCATCTTGCGCTTTCCCCAGCAAATCGTGTCGGGACAAATGATCTCGAGCTAAATTGACAAGTTTAGGGTCTGGAGACGTATGCTTATTGCTGAACACTTGGGGGTGGATGACGTTGCTTAGTTGCTGGACTCCGATCTCGTTAAACCTGCCAGTTGCTGGCACTAATACAGGGCTTCGTTAGTCGAGTCTGTTCAGCAAATTCTATGGCGAGGGTCCTATATACATGCAAGTGTGCTCCGCTTCGGCGCAGCTCCTGTATCCTCCCGGGCATCCTGGATCGCCTGCTTCGAATACTTCCTGATAGTTACTTTCCATGCTGGTATGGGATGGTAGACTAATCGCGTTTTCGAGAAAGAAACGGTGGTTTTATGCAAACCGCGGCTGAACACCTGCATGGTTGCGCGATCAATAAGTCATTCTGTTATTTCTGTAACACTCAGCTCCAGAAGCCTTCCACCTCATCTGGCTCTTGTATATTGAATACTGTCTCCTACCAACCGGTCCCTTTGTCACTTTCATCCTTGCCTGCCGTCCTTTTGGGCTTCTTCCCGTCTTTGATAGATCAGATTACATAATAGTCAAAGAATCATAATCACGTGAAGATATCAGTGTCATGTGATCTTATCTCGCTTGCTTATTAATCTTTATCGGCGATAGCAAAGTGGCAGGAAAAGCGACTCCGATAAGAAGAAACAACCTAGAAACCAGCCGACGTCTTGACATTCAGGCCCATCTTCACGCCCCTTCGATTATTGATAGTGAGCTATTCACCACCCAACTGATACCGCACATGCCGATCTTGACTTAAGTAGCCTTACAACTACTACATTCACTTGACAAAGGAGTTGCTCAGCTACAAGCTGCTTTACCTGAGCGTATATATAATATTTGCAGCTAGATCTCATACTGGCCTTACATTACCTACTCTCCTTGCTCCGGAAACCATTTATACCACGGTCGCTATCACCGGTAGCACCTTCGATCCCTCGTGTTCTATCCATATAATCGCACCTGAATCTCCTCCGCTTTACATCAATCGCCACAGTTGGTTTTCCTCCATCATGGAGAACGATACTGTTGATCTGACTGGGCCGTCGCCTGTTACAACCTCACATAGTAGCAGGGGGCCCGTGCCACAAACATTACAGCCGTCACGGTCTCGTCGTAGCGCATCGCCTGACTTTAATGACAATAGAGGCAAGGTTAAACGCCGGAGGTTGAGCAACAGGAACAATCGGAGCAGTACCCCAACAGCTGGCCCGTCTTCTCAGAGCCACCAAGCAGCAGAGACTATGATTCCGGGTGAAATCGAGTCTGTGGATTTAACTAGTGTCGACGACTCCTCTTCGCTAGCACAAGTTCTTGCCAAACAGCGGGAGGATGCAATCATAGCTCAGAAAAATGCTACAAATGACAAGGAAGCAAAGTCTATTCTGATAGCGTATAAATGCCCAGTTTGCATGGATGTACCTGAGAATGCTACAAGCACTATTTGTGGTATGTATTGTGCTCTTATTCCACATAATGATACATTACTGAACATATTCCTTTCACCGTAGGTCACCTATTCTGCCATAAATGTATCATTGACAGCCTCAAATACAACGAGACCCGCCGCACACTTGAAGGTGCTGGAAAGGGAGCCAGAGGGAACTGTCCGGTTTGCCGCAAATCTATAACCGTGGTAGACAATCCCGGTCCCAGACGGAACCTTGTGCCATTGCAGTTTAAATTGATAACTCGAAAAAAGGGGTAAAGAATCTGCAGACGAACTCATATTTCTTATGTAGATTTTGGTAAATGAACTTTCCTACGTGTCTATTCCTCTGCTGCATACAGCGTCACGGGTTATGAGCGAACAACAATAGCATGCTCGGGGTTTCTTGGGGTTTTGGTCTCCTTTCAAGCTTCTCTTTCTCTGTAACGCTTTTTGCTAGCATTTATGTACTATTCACAGAAGTAACTATTTGCTGCACGTGCTACGGTACAAACACATCACTAACTAGATAATTCGAAAGGTAAATTTACTACTAATCTATATTCTAGTCATACCCAAACAAGCCTTACAATGGTTATACCTCTTTATCTAACAGGTCAATTACTTTCGACCTACTACTTCCATAGTATTCCTTCTGCTTCTTTCACCACTTAGCCCAGACCGTACCATAGCATCCCCCTTCTTGCCTAACACAACCTCTAGTGCCTGCACAAGCCCAGCAGGATCATATTTCATTCCTACAACAGACCCCTCATCATTCACTACCTTGCGTCCGTACAGCCGCAAGCACTCAATACCCATCTCATTCAGGCGAACGCGATCTACTTGCGGTGTGCCGGGTCCGTCTAGATGCAGAATATGGGTCACATAAGATGTGTACGGCTCGCTAGGAGCAGATATTTGTGGTGTGCTGGGTTTATGGGTACAGGAATCTTTTGGTATCGAACTTCGACGTTTATGTGAACAGCTCTCTTCTGCTGCACGTACAATGGCTTCAACAAATTCAGAGGCGGATAACGGCTGGGATGTGGGACCAGTTTCGCGATCCAAGGACCCGTTGAGAATGAGGATCTTATATCGTGCAGGCCCTGAAGCTATCGACCGGCCTACTCCTCTAAGGATAATAGAAGGAATAAGGGACGTATATAAGGATCCAATGCTATATATGATCGCCTGGGATGAGCGCAACGCCTCTAACACACGAGGATTGGCAGGTGGTCTAATTTCTTGGCCATAGGGGTTGATATACCAAACACGGGAGATTCGGCTGGGGAGCTCATCAACAGTTGACTTGCTAAACTGGATGTTCTTGTTGCGCAGTGTTGGAAGGGACCCGGGTAAATGGCTTTCTTCATATAGCGGGTCCTCTGGCTCAAGGTACGGGTCGTCGCCATCGGCTAACATTAAACTAGGACGCCTAGAAGATGGCGTTGGTTGTATAGAGGAGGCCTCACTCGGGTGAGAAATGCTATTTTGGCCAACGATCACTGTTCCATCCTCAAGTGAGGCAGATATATGATGAGAAAAGTTGGAATTTATAGCAGGGATAACTCGGACACTGTCAATAGGGACAGAGCATATGCTAGCCAGGAGGTATATAGCACTCTCGAAGCTCCCACTGAAAAGTCTAGCAGCAGTCAAGAACAGATTGCCCACGCTAGCGGATGTGAAGTCGAAAGTAGATGCAGGAGGTCTCGCGCGCTTTAAGATTTCAAGATTAAGCAGGTTTAAAAAGGACCGAATTAGCTCCTTTTTTGCAGGTGTGATAGCTTGCCACAGGGAGGAGTTTCCCTCAACAATTGAATACCACTCATCGTGAGCACTGCTAGCGTTCGACGACAGCCGATGATTGAAAAGGGTTTTGATTCCAGCTCGCTCTGGATCAGTCGGAGAATCTGGGATCAAACGTACCAGCCGGCCTTTTACATGGTTACCTTGGTTAAGCTCATAGTTAAATAGGTATAGATCAGATACACTTACTTCTAACATCACCAATTCCCGGACCACCGAAGAATCTTATAAGCTCGGACGAGGAGCCACCATTATCGCTGATCGGGATAATATAGCTCAAAGGGCAATTTTTGGATTCTCTGAGGGCACTGAAGACATCCACTAGATTATTCGCAGCACTCCCCCCAGAGAACACTGTAATGCCACGATTGGGGCTAGCAGAGGCAGCCATTTAGGGGATTTATGTATCGTACTTGGAGTACGGTTGTTTCCAATGATGCTGGCTGAATGGGTGCATCTGGGGTATCGAATATTGAGTCAGAAGAGCGAAGTTCAGGATACAGTGTCCTTAACGATGTAGTTAGCTAGCTAGTTAGTTGATTTCCAAGACAGGATTCGTAACCAAAAACAAATCTGGCATCAAACACGTGACGTTGGCCAATTTGCCCCAAGGAGTGCTCTATTTGAGCGACTACATCGTCTTTCACAAAGTTGGGCTATGGTCCGCGTAATCGTCTCGCTAATTCTCCTTCTGCTTTCTCAGATATACATATCACATCGAAGTATCATCAATTTGCTTCGTTTCCCGCAATAATGTATGGTTGAGATACAAAGGTACCAAAATTAAGCAATATAGTTTGCAAAATTGTAGTGTGCTTCAAACTAGTAAATTATTGACGCAGAGCACATCCCGCTAAAAAGACGTATGTTGGCTATATTTTGCGTAAGACACTAATAGACGCTTCCCTGTGGTTGTAGTATGTAAACTATATGATATATGGTGGGTGAAAGCATCCAAGGGCAAAGATGCGTAAATGTTAGACGTATGCAGCCCAGCCTATATAGTCTAGTTAGTGTCATGTTTGCAGGAATTGATGGCTAGATAATTAATATACTTACCACAGTACAGGACAGCAAGGTTCTTTTCATCTGTAGCTTGCTGAATCAATTCGTTGACAGTGGCTGCTACACTCAGTGACTTGCCAAGCTTCTTCCGAACAACCGTCAAAGCTCTATCAGCCTCATTAGGCTCGTTGAGGTTCGTCTTTTTTCTACCTTCGTTGGAGGTGACCGCGCCATTTTCAGCTTCTTGGGCGTCTTGCATCTTTTTCATTCGTAAAGGAGACAACGTCCAGCTGTATAACGGGTCATAACGCAGGACATCTAAAATAGTCATTATACTGTACGACTCTTCACGGAGGGCTGCAAGAGTAAATTCACAACTTCGCCGGAATACTCCTTCGGTTTTTGTAATCCCCATACCGTCCACAAGATCCCTAGTTAGACGGAAGGGCACACTCTCTGGAATTGGTAAAACACGGCCTTGCTCAAATGCAACACCTAAGTCAATATGCACTGCCTCTCCTGTTTCAGTATCCAGAAGGATGTTATGGCCGTGTCGATCTCCCAGGCCTAACACGTGGCCAAGCATGGAAATAGCAGCTGTACTTCTAGTGTATGCCAAACGCTTGCTAAACCAATCATCTGGATTTAGGAATTTCTCCATGAAGAAATATTTCATAACAGGGTGGAAATGGTCAGTAACATGACGGTAGGCTTTGATGCGCTGATCTCGAGATTTGCTCTGAGCGTCATTGATAAATTTGCGGCACTGGTTTGGTTTGAAGTCCCTGGGGAAGTATCGCTGATGTGCCGGTAGCAGGTAGTCATTTAACGGCATCGTGTTTTGGACAAATTCAATAATCCCAGAATTCGATGCCAGTGGTAACACTTTGTACGTTCTGATGCCTAACTTTCGTTGTCTAGTGTCCCTATGGTCTCGGAGAAGGTCACTGACTTGTTCGAAAGTCTGCTCCATTATTGCGTCTTGACGTAAGTCATCATTTCCAGATTTAAACTGTATTTAGTAAGAGTTCTATGTCAGTAAAAATTTGTATTGAAACGAGTCAAATACGAGAGTTTGAAGTCGTACCAGTTGTTTATACCGTACCCCATTAGATGCCATAGCAGTAACAATTTTCGGGGCACTAATACCAGACGCGATGGTAAAGGTTGGCTGAAAACTGACCAGATGTGGAACATCGCTATAGTCACAATCGGCACGAAGCGGAATGGTCATAGTAGGTGGTGGTATTTTAGTATTTGAGATGGCGCTCTGCATTCGAGTGCCATATATAGTCTCCTTCAACACCAGCTTGGATCCGCTCTTCACTTTGCCTTCCAATGGTTCTGCCGCAAAGTTCAAGTAGTGGTAGCTGGTATTGTGAATTGCGAGCCATTCACCTGATCTTTTGGACTTTTTCAACACATCCACAATTTTTCCTGCTGCATTATAGCGTGAAACAGCCTTTGGGTCGTTATCCTTCTTAGACCTGCTGTTAACAAATAGGTGGTACATGCCATGGTAGGGATGGTCGATGCAGATTTGGAGAACCAATGCGGATAACAGTGGTTGAAATGTATCTGCAACATCGAGCAATCTTGAAGATAACTGATTCATCAATGAAGCAAACTTCCGGGTCGGCACTTCGCGTAAATATCCTGATACGGCGTTATTAGCTTGTTCATTATCTGAATTGTCAAGCCATAAGGCACAGAAGCGAAGTACATCATTCGCAAAGGTGTCGCAAGCTGTTAAAGATAGGAGATAATTTTCAAGGCATTGATATAAAAATGACTCTCGGCTCTTCTTCAGTCGTTGGTATTCGCGATCATCCAGATCAAACCATTGCTTTGCTTTCGTTCGATGTGTACGAAGCTGGTCCTTCGTCTTTCCGTCAGACGTTTTCATCATTTCCTCAAGATCAGCTACCTCTTTGAGCTTTCTTGTTCGCAAATGCTCTAGCCTGACAAAGTCTTCCAATGTGTCTGGATTCTGTAGCTGCTGGTCACAAAATGTCGCGAATTGATGAAATACAAGACCGGCTTCTCCGCCGGTGTATTCCCCTTTTAGCTCTTTGATAGATGGGGCTAAGTAGCTCTGAATGATGGCATCTGGCTGTTCTAATCTAGCCTCTGCAATGTGGTGTCCCTATTTCATACATTAGAACTCTGGAAAGAATATAATGGGGGCGGGGGGTTAGACTTACTAAGCTAGCCAAAATCTCTGCTACACTCACGGGAATAGTCTGGCTGTGCAAGTCCTTTTGATCACTTAAATTTTGCAGAATCTTGATGGAGGTTTTCATTTCACCTTGATCCCAGAGAACGTTTGCTAGATCAAATGCAGTCGCTGCGTCAATTTTCACCCCTAGTTCAGCGCAGGGTTGAACCAGTTTTGATAATGACATAGCCGATTGGAGGGATGCCTGTGGAATGCCGTGCTCCGTACTAATTCTCAGTGATTCTCTTATACACTTAGCCTCTAGAATTTGGGCGTCTCTCGAGCTTAAGTTTGTCATCTTCTTCAAATGTGACCGGCGGCTAATTGACGAGAATATAGCTTCCCTGCTGATCAGTATTTGACTTATATCTTGAAAGCTATGAGAGTATTAGTTACTATTCAGTTTATCCCAGAGAATTAGGGGATTTTGAAGCTCATACCTTTCTGACTTCAGCCACTCCCCACGACTTGTTAAGCGGTCC